TGCACGCAAAATTTTGCCTTCTTCTGAGTCAATCTCAACGTTGGATATTGAAGCTGCTCGAGACGGCCATGTTTCTGCACTTGCACTTCTTGATAGAACAGATGGTCCGCAGTTGTACATTGGCACAAGCAGGGGGGCGGTTATCGTTGCTCAGGCTCTGGAGGTAAACACATTATTGAATGAGTATAACAATTGTGACAGATTAGGCAACGTGAATCCTAGAAAGCTGTCAAAATTAATACTTTTAGGAAAAAGAGAATTAAAAAGAGGACGTAGATGTAGTGTAATGCTAGCATCACCAAAGAAATGTACAAGTAACGCCGTCTGATGATGGGAAGTTCCTAACGTGCTTTTCGAGGATCGTTCGTTTTGTTGTCGGAGGATGGAATTGCGCAGGAATTATCTTATTTGCTTCCTAGTATTTCACGTTGCAGCCTGAATATTTTTGAAGTTTTAGTATATACACCGACCACGGACTGTTTGGTTGCAGATGCGTCCACTTGCCGCATTTCGACCATATCTGGAAGATGTGCATTCCATAATTGTTTTGGATGTGGCATCAGCAGTCACGGATTACATTCGAACACGGCGTGATGCTACTGCTGCCGCAAGTGCAGCAAGTATAGGTGCCATCAGCTTGGGCGGGCCTGGTTTCGGTGCAGTTAGCAGTGGTAGTGGAAATGATTTGTTCGAAACTGTTAGCTGGATGAAAGATCGTGTCTCGGAGACGGTTAATCGGTTCAGGCAGGGCTCAGCTGAGTATACTTCTTCGCTAAACAGCTACGTGATAACGGTTGGAAACGGGTATAGGTTCGTTTTTATGTTAAATTTAAAACTTTCTTTGTGCATGTTTTCTTCGTAAGGCACAAACATCCGGAAAGTTTACAGCTACAGCGGACGCCTGGCTGGTAGTGCTGTCAGCGTGCTTCTCTTCTAAAGCACAGCTCAGAAACAAGTTAATAGCGTTTTTGACCGACCATTCGATAGCACTGCCACTCTGCTGTTCCTCAGAATGCTTGACTTCACAGTAAAACAGTGAATTTGTCCTGTATCCGTCAGCTTATCTCCTTTATATCTTACTCAAAATTATTGTGTTCTGCGTGAAG